TCAACTTTGCGTGGATTTCTGCGGATATATTTCCTCGATTTTTCTGCGTTTTCCCGGTGTACCTCGCTTGCCGTTTGCTGGGATATTTATTTCACGGAGATTTCTTCGGATCGTTTCGTGAATGGTATTTGTAGCTTTGCTACCAGTTGCTGTTTATCATCGGTCGATTACGAAGTATTGTAGAAAGTTTCAAAATATGAAATAGTAGTTTATTAACCGTTATTAGCCACTTTGTATTATTTCTGTTGTAACCAGTCAAATAACCGACTACGAAGTAAAGACGAACGAGTTCATTGCTGAACTTTTCTTAGTTGAGATAGGAACTTTAGTAAAGACATAATTGCGAAACTGATTAATCGGACAATATAGGAATTAACGTAAAGGTACATGAACAAAAGAAAACGCAGAATCTCAAATCGAATTTTGGTAATGAATTCAAAGAAAGATTTTAACACGTGACTGATGAGTGACGCTTCTGAGAACAATTGTAATATGCGAGATAACCCGATGTTCAGTGAAAATGTTCAGTGAATAATTAACTGATAACTAAGCTAATAATATTGCAATGCAAGGATTGTAACGCCAAATAATTAATAATTGTTCCTGCTATTCTTTGCCACAAAAGAATGCTATGAATGCAAATTGCTATGAAAGAACAATCAAGATTTTCGTGGCACGTACCGTGTTAAGGGAGGGGAACAAATGAATTTAAGAGAAGTCTTTTTTGCTGAAAATCTGAGGATGGTTTACGCGAGGCCCGTTCCAATATGGCGGCGACATGGGAACGCCGGGACGCGAGCGACACTCTGGGAAAAACAAATGCGGCGCGTATGCGAGCGAAATGCATTACGTCGAACGTGTGAATGAAACGGGCGAGTTAGTGAAACGCGTACGCATAGAAACTTCATTCATGACCATCGGCGGAAAAAGCATCGCCGTCGTGTTTCGATTACAATCGCGGCGAGGCGCGAAGGGGGATCGGAACACTTAAATCTTTGTTGAACCTTTTTTTCCTCGCGCGTCGCGAGAAAGTTGAAAAGTTGAACGATACAAAATACACAGGGACGCCTGCATACGGCGTCGAAGTTATTTCCATCGCGAATTTATTCCTGCGGAATGGAATCCATATTTACCGTGCGGCGTTTCATCATCTTCTTCCTCCGTTCTGTGTAAGGAAGCGAAATTTCGTTGAATTCAATCCTTGATAAATTTCTCGGGGGATTTTACGTACATATTATGATCCTGTGTGTTCATAGTAAATTGAACTTATGTGATATAAAGATTTGATTGTTTTTGGTATTAGTAATCAGTTATTATTTTCTTATTAATATTATCGGTGACTGTCATTGATAGTAATATTTACTCGATGCATGTTTCTTCCGCGACAAATTATTTCCTTTTGAAATGTACACCTTAATTTCTCAATAGAATTTGACGATTGCGATTGAATTTAGATAAATGAAACTTCAGCGATTTCAATGAACATTGAACAGTTTCTCGGTTCAATTGTATACCGAACTTGAATCGAAAAATCGAAAACCGTAAAATGAATCTTTCCTTATATGTATCACGCGTGTCCGATACTCTTTAAATCGACACAACGGGTGAAAGTAGTGATCAAAAGAATCTTTTCGTTGGATCCATGTCCTGCCGTACACCTTTATCGCTCACCCTTTTAATCTCGCGATTCGACCGCAATAGCGTCGTGGAAAATTAAAAATGGTAGCCCGGAGGCTCGATTATCCGTTCGTTTCGCTCGCGATTCGCGATACACGACGGAAAAGTGCGGCAAACTGCGACGAGGAACTCGTAGTTTACAGGAACGCGAGAGTCTCGGATTGAAACGTTAATTTTCATCCAGAGCACGGGAGATCGTAAATCGTGGTCGTCTTACGGAACCACGAAGTGCCTACGGTATGCTAAATTTCAACTCGCACGAACCATACGCCAGAAGCCAATATAAAAGGAGCGAACAACGTAAAACCACGCTATACGAACATCTAAAAAAAACTGTACAACTTCTTCGGCCTACGCTCGAATAGTAAAAATGTCTTTCTTCGTAGTTGCGATGGGAACGAGCCTGTAAAATGTTCTCTTCGTAAAGCTGCTTCGAAACGGCTGATTACCATTTATATCCTGCACGGTTCACATATGCGAATTAAAACGTTACCCACCTTAATTAATTGAAATTCTATTTTCTGGCAACAGTAACAAAGCGAGCAATTATAACTCATTGGATCGAGCATGAAGGTAACTAGGCTACGTCCTGTTTCTCTACACCTCGTTTATTTTCGTTTCTGCGGGCTCGCATGTTTGCGTCTTTTATTTTCGTGGCTTCGCGAAGGTGTTTCGTTGTCGTTATTATGACTATTCAGACACGGAAGTTTCAGGTGGTTTAATGTATTCGTCGAGTTGTTGACAAGTTCGCCGGGGATCCGCGTTGAAATTTGGAAGGTCCCACGCAAATGGCTCACGGCTACGGGGAAAGTTAAACACTGGCCTATATTGCGAAGTGTAACTTTCTTTACGTCTACTATCTCACGTTATGCAGAACTCTTTCCCTCGCGTTCTCTTATTATGCGCTTTGTTGGAGTGCCCGCGAATATACCATTCAGTGAGATTCCGTGATGCTCGAAGAAATTATTCAGCAACGCAGCTCCTTTAACTGTAATTCCTTTTTCACGTACCGATGTGTCTACGCATAATATTCCCTCTTCCAGAGACGCGGGAGTAACATGTCGCCGGGAATATTCGTCGCTTAATAATTCAGGCCTCCATTTGCAAATCAAGAGAACGTTCGCCAAACAATCGACAGAAACTTCGATACGGTATTCATAAGCTAATTCTGGCGCTTCAAAGAACCATTCTACTGAAACGCTTTTGCCACCGACGGAATATGTTGCTTTTGCTTGGCGATGGATCTTTTTTCAACGTACGCGATCTTATCGGCTGTTATGCTATTCATACTTTGCTTTAATTTGTTTTTTGCAAATTGGTTCTACTCTTTCGAGGACTTACGAAGTACGAGATTAATTCGAATATATATTGGAGTTTCATTCTGTTTTTTATTGAACTATGCTTACTGGTAAAAGGGATTATAAATGAGAATGAATTTAACGATCATCTTCGTTAAACTATCGTGTCTTATGTACTAAAGAGATAGTAATCGAGTCGTGACTGTACGCTAAAGGATTATGACCATGACAATACCGAACATGGAAGGGCATTATATCGAGCCAAAAAGACCGGACCGGAAGTCCCGTCTGGCACGATGGCTTTCCGCTCCACTGATTTCCTGTTTCTTCGGGGTCTTCGTTTTCTTCTGCGACGACGACACGTCTTACTTACGGTGCGTTTACACTAACCGATTTCATACTCGGTTCGATAACTAACAATATGTTATATTCACCATGATCTCGATGGAATATTTATGTTCAGTAGAATCTCGGTCAACTGAATCAATTGACGCCAAAATGGTTCATATAATCAAATAATCAGTATAATCAAATATTACAGTAGAATCTCGATTATCCAAACAACTACGATTAAGACTGTTCAGATAGTCAAGTACATATGTCAAACGATCTAACAATAAAACAAAGGAATAAAAAATTCCAATATTAAAGTTTCAACTAATCAAGATTCTAATCTAGCTCAAAAGAAATGTAAATCATTCCACCTCTCATCGACAATTTGCTCCTAAAATCGAGCGAGCGTTCACAAATATTCCGCGAATAATGTATTTGTTTATGAAGTAAATCAATTCTTTCATGCTGGGAGGCAAATAAGCATTCGTTCGATCGGTGTAAACGCACCATTAGTTACTTACGTACGCCGCATCCTCCGGTAGCTTTCTTTCGCGGCCAGATAATCATGTCCGTTTCCTCGCACGTGTAATACCGGCGAACCTTTCTTGTCCATTCCACGAACGATCGCGAAATCATCGTAGATTGGATTAGAAGGGGGACGCGCCGCGGCAGGAATTCTTAACAGGCGGCCAAAGGGAATAGGGCGGCAATGGAATCGAATTTATCCCCCGATGTGACAAACGACGTACTGTTTTCACGCAGGCTCGCCCCGTTCCGCTTAATTGAATTTAAGGATACATTCTTGCAACCGAGGTTGTCAAGAATTTCCGCGGCTCTTTTTTCTATCGAGCTGTTGGTACACGCGGCGGAGGTAAGTTCCGCGAAGTATGAAAGGCTTTTAGAACTTCGAGGAATGTTACTTCTTATCGCGGAATATGTTGCAATTCTCGTATTTTAGAAATTGTTTCCGATGCGCTGACATGTATCGGATACCCTACCTCCCTTCCACTGCCGCGTGACTCACCCTTTAAGACGATCACTGTACGCGTTATTATTACTAAATCTGTACTGTCGTCGTGAAAAATGAAGGAAACAGAGATGTTATACACAATAGGTGTATTAAAGATTCCATTTCATCGACAGGTGAACAAACAGTTAATAACAGAGCATTACACTTTGAATCTTATCGTGCCCCATTCATTAACTCAATGCTTATACATTAAATGTATCACATAAGATTCTCACTTCAATCGTTGTATAGAAAAGTTAACTAAACTTAGCGAATATTGTACGCATTGTAAAACGTGTTCATGATATTCTCGTCGCAGCTTCCCGAAGCTACGTTGCGAATCTTTAGAAACCCGCGTGACCCTTTAGTCGCTAAATAAACGTAGTCGACTGGGGTATATCTATTTCGCACCCGGAATTCGAACTTTTCTCTCGAGCGCACCTCGGACACATAAAGTGGCGCGGTCTTCCGAGTTTAAAGTCGACCGCGACCGTTGCAAGGGAATTTCGCGGCATGTAACGCGCGGCGCGTGACACATTCGCGCGTTTAGGTCGCCGTATGGACGCAGGGTTCAGCGACGCTATCTGAACTCCTTAACAATCGAAGCGTTCGAAACGATCGCGCGTACGGCGGCGGCCAACAGATTATTGGACGTGGTCCGCTTGGATTTTTCTCCTCCGCGCCGGGTACCTGCCCACAAAGTGCGGGGAGAAGTCGTCGTGACGAACGTACGCGCGGCCGCACATAACTGCGACCCTCCGTCGACTTATGTACTGGCCAGACGTACCCGAAGGGAGGCCAATTTGCATACAGAGAGCGCAATGAATTCGCGACTTTGCGGCCGCGACACCCCAGCCTCCGCCGTACAAATGCGTTGCGAATTCTGTCGATGTTCCTTTAGCATTCCTCTTTCTTGCTCGTCTTCATCTGGATCGTTGAATTACCTGGGAAATTAAAATTTGTCTTCTGATGTGCAATGTTTAATTGATATTTTTTGAGAAAGTATTAGTTTCTGATATTATTCGTCATTATCGTTGCTGTTATTAAGATTAGTGTCTGTGAGGAACAGTTGATGGTTATTACGTAGGAGAGTAGCGAATAAGCGAAGCTGAACGTCATACTGTTTCCTTCGGCGACCTTTGACATCGACATTTCAGTAGGTCCTGCAATCGTGAGATATTTAATGTTTGCGTTAATGAGTAAGTCGCTTTAGTAATTTATTATTGTGCTTTGAAACGAACCTTAAGAGCTTCGTGAAATTCACTCGACATTATAATGTAAATAATGGAGCAGACCGCTGGAAACGTCTTGGCAATGAAATAGAGAATCTCCCTCTTACTGTCCGTGCAACATGACGCTTTTGGCTCTATGAAATTTACCGCCCTGGCGACTCGGTACGGCGTGCGAATTGTAAGGAAAGCAATCGCGACGATCACTGTGGAGAATTTTGCTTTATGTCCTTTACTATCAGCAGTACAGTCAGTAAAATCTTTATTTCGTCTAGTTAAAGGCAACATCTTTGTAAAAGATCGTAAGATTTAAATGTGAAATTTAAAAGCATAGCACTTGACGATCCGTTGCAACTAATTGAAATTTGTATTACAGACGAAAAATATGAAACTAGAAGCTTTTGACGTAAAACATATATACATCTACAAATTCAATTTACCCAACATGACAAATTGTCTTAGTTCCTTCAACCGCCAAGATCCCTCAGTCTCCTTGAGTATCAGCAGCTCGTACAAGATCAAGCAGTCAAGAGCGATGTATATGAAAAGCGGCATGATGATGAACATAATCGTGTTCCACACGTAAATATCAGCCATGTCTCCTTCGAAAAAATCATAAATATGCAGACCGATGGCAAGGCAAACAATGCACGCGGCCCAGGTCAAGAGAATCCCTTTCATCGCGGTCATCTTCTTCAGCAGGAGTTGGCCTAGTGACGTGTGCTGCTGGAATATATCGATGTAGAGCAGTAGCTTGAGTATCGCGATGGTTATCACGGACACGTCGAAGCTTATCATGCACACGTAGTCCATGTTCAGTTTCATGTCCACCGCGAAGAACCATTTGAGCACTTCTTCGAATGGCTCGATTAGGATCACCATATTGGAGAGCGTCAGGCTGATGTAATGGAGGCCGGTAGCTGTTCTCATAGATTTTTTGGAAATGATCACTAGGATCACCGAGAAATTTAAAGCGACTCCCACTGATAGGAAAGTCAGGTTCATAACTCTGGCTGTGGACTGGGGGATGTTGGACGCCATGAGATTTATCTTCGTGATGCTGGTTGTTCTTAGAGGTCCCCTGGGAACAACTGGATGCAGGACCTCTAGGGCTTCGTGAACTTCGGCCGAGTTTCGAGGACGCTGTGTAGGCACTCTAACGTCACGTATGAAATACATTGGTCCGTTCATTTTCTTAGATATTTGAATACTTGAATGTATAATATTTTCAATGTATCATATATTTATATAAATTTAATGGTACGTGTACACATGAATGTTGGAACGTGACGTTCGCAGGTAATTTATGACACGTCGAAACCGTTCTCGTGTTCGATTCAGGGCAAAAAATATTTAGCCGACACTTGGTCACCGTCACGTTCTATTTTCTCGTGAGAATTTCAGCTCTTCCCGACTCGTGTCGCGTATGTTTCTTTCTGGTAGAACTGGAACTGCGTAAACACGTCTGTGTTCGCAATGGGACTGGTGAACAGGAAGGACGTTCGTTGGAGCACACGCGTTTTATGTTCTTCACGCGTGACTCCATTAGGGAATTAATGAACTTAAATGTGGGTGGGTCCTCTTAGGTTAATCGTGACATTGACACGCGATTTTTTCATTCCGCTGAGTGCACTTTTTGTTGCGAAAATTATGAAGTCGGCATCGGCGCGATCGATTTCGAAGTATCGCGCGAGTCTTATCTCGTTGTGTCATTTTATTTTGTTTCGTTACTTTATCTCGGAGATAGGAAAATAATGATTCCACTTTTAACGAGACTAATACCTCGTGTTTCGAGTGTCCTCATATTTTGACGAGACCGTCTTTGCAGAACTTATCAGCGAAGTTCTCGAAAGTTTGCCGTTTTAACGATACGCACGTGCTGTTTTTAGTATCAGCTAATTGAAAACAACGTCCGCTTGTTTGTGAAGTGTCCGTGGATTAGGAAACGTTCGATTCGGTTCATTAGACTGGTGTCTGGAGACTTGAAGTGTTTATTTAAGCGCAACTCGCGAGTGCAGACTTATCTTCGTTTCAATATTTACAGCGTTATGTTTCTTCAATAATTATTAATTATCGATACTTCTCTTGTAATATAACGACTGTTCGCTCTGTCAGACACAATGACCAATTAGCCGTCACTCGATCTACATTATTACAAATTAATTTTCATACCGCAATCGACTGTACTCCACGATACATCACGCTTCCAATTGTGTCTATCAGAACCGCATTAACATACAATGCGAAACGCACCGGAACAAATTTTTATGTCATAAATCCGGTAAGGGTGGGGCTTGTAATCATTCTGATTTATGCGATCCAATTTGAAAGTTTCTCCGGGTCGTGTCGCTGTTGACTGTTTCACTCAAGGAAAAATTGCATTTTCTTTCGCGCTGTGTACGGTGTTCACACTACCGTCGACCAATACTATGCAAATAAGATAAGTCCGAGATAATACAGTCACATTTTCATGAAGTTTCAAGCGCGTCGAAATTGAGTTTACAGTTTAATTAATATTTAATTACAATGTTATTCACGATTTAATTTATTTTAATCCTTAACAGTCGACACTCTCTACTGTATAAAAATCCGGAAACTTTTGTTTTCATAAGTTAAATTTTCAGTTTTTATATATTAAAAGTTCCATTAACATTTTTTCCTACGTTTCTTCGATATTCTCTTGTTTCAAAGATCAGATTAATACTCATTAATAATAAATTACCAACTATTATGCGTCGAAATTGAGCTTACAATTTAATTAATATTTAATTACAATGTTATTCACGATTTAATTTATTTTAATCCTTAACAGTCGACACTCTCCACTGTATAAAAATCCGGAAACTTTTGATTTCATAAGTTAAACTTTCAGTTTTTATATATTAAAAGTTCCATTAACATTTTTTCCTAGGTTTCTTCAATATTCTCTTGTTTCAGAAATCAGATTAATACTCATTAATAATAAATGATCAACTATTATGCGTGAAAGTACCAACGCCAATCGATCTCTCCCTCTGATCGAACTATCTTGAACTAACTATACTTATCTCTATACTACATCGCGACGGGGAAACCCTTGACCCTGACATTATGACAATTCCCGATCACGGTAACGATCCGACAGCGACCAGCCAGTGACGGAGATAATTTCGCGCGAATAAATCATGCCCCGACCGACATACATATTTATCCGACGAGTGGGATCGTTCGGGGCGGACGTGACGGAGGGACAGAGACACAGAAATGCAGTCTTCTCGACTGCATAATGCAACAAGAGATGCGGCAGGGAGAGAACCCGGAGGCTGTCGCTGGCAAATGGCCACTGCACTGGTGCAATATCGGTCAGTATTCAGTTCTGATAAATTTATACTGTCCTGTTTAGATGTCTCGTGTCCTGCGCGGTTAGGGCGACTACACCGGCGAAATTGAAAACCGAAACACAGGGTATGAACGCCGAACACAGAGGAGAGAGAAATCAGCGATATTTTCCGTATAGTACACTTCTATATTCTACATTTTTCGTTGGAACGGTGGAACCTCTCTTTCTATTGGTTGCTTCATATGGTAGCACTGAATGATACAGATGTTTCATTCAACTGTATCAATCGTGTCAAATAACAAGCGTACGGATGTTTATGTGATTCACAGCTTTCAAAAATAAGTATATTACAGTCGATGTTAAAAAGAAATTCATTATTTTTATAAAAACTGTACATTATTGTGTTTAGTGTGGTCAAAAATAAGTATAGGTGAATAAACATCCGCAGTCTAGCGGTAAGCGAAGGCTAAAAATCATAGAAAATTGAGAATCGAAGGTCGAAAACGAATAATTGAAGATTGAACATTAAAAATTGAGAAATAGGAGTACACCACGAAACATTGGGACTTCCGGTCAACCTATCTACAGAGGGCACGACGCGACCGTACGCCGTGAAAGTAGATATTTAGACCGGGTGTTCCGACTCATTGTACGCGCACGTGGAAACCTTCACAATGGACGCTTTTTCGCGGAGAAAATCGAGCACGCGGGACAGCGAGTTGCTCGTTCCTTTGTCGTTCCTTGTTTCCCCGTGAGAGAATCCGCCGAATCGAAAGGTCGCCACGGTGTACGGGTGAAAGGAGTAAACACTGATTTTGTTTCGTTTTTTCTCTGTCCGTCCTGTTCTCAGGTGTGAATTAGTAGACCTTAGAAGAAGGGTATTGTTTGCTTTCTTTTCTTGTTTTCTTTCGAGAGCGCGGGACACGGGCACAGCGCGAAGAAGCTTTTAGTAACAATACGTGCTTCCCGGTAGATTGTTTGTTTCTTTGAAAATTGAGAAGGCGTATTGGAAAGTTGTAGCTGTAAACGGGAAAATGAAGTTTCGGTTGAAGTGACTGCCAGAGATCTTCAATTAAGATTTATTTCGGATGATAATAATTAGACATTTTTTTGTTGAAGCGGAAGATCGCTTAGGATTCTTCAGAGGAAGAAAATTTGTATTTTATGTTTATTACTTATCAAGAATAGTGCTTGTGTCAGTTCAGTCGTATACTTGGCTCGTTCTCAAACCAATAACTTTCAATTTCACGTTCATATCACTCGAAAAAGCAAATCCGCGCAAAGGGAGGCCATATTCCTTAAAAGGCTCAACTCCACGCCCATTCCCAGCAATGTGTTGCAACCCTCCATTGCAATCTCTCCTCCTTTTATAAACCGAAGTACTGACCGGTTACACACTAATTTCAGCCTCTTTCGACGCTGCTGCCTTATTAGAAAAAATCTTGCATCCTTCATTTCTGAGTAAGCGTTAACAATTCTCGCACAGACAATAATGATATCCATTTTCGCGAAACACTGATGTTCGTTCTTTATTTCATAAGAAACCAACTATTGGGAAATAGAATAAAGAGATAGTAAGTGTCTATGATTGCACTTGAAACTTGAACGCTCTAATCCACTCGAACAATAATTGCTCAATTTGAGATAAACATACACTCTCCCTTCCAATATTTTTACTCACTCAACCTTCGCTTACTTAACCATAATTTCTGCATTCATCCCGATCGATTCAATCGTTATCAATTTTCAATACTATAAAAATTATCGTCGATAACAACTACCTTTTACACACTACTGAACTCAAATCATGTTAGATTTAAACCTTCGAACGAACCCAATAATCAAACTTCCACATTTAAATTTATTCCCAATTCTACATCCGCTCGAAATAAACCATCACCATCCTTCCTGCTTTCCTAAATAACAACAACGAAAATCCGAAATTTACTCGGATTTTTAGCATGCACCTAAGAAAATTTCTCAACGCTCAAACGCTTAATGCTCATCCCCGTCGACACGGAACGAAACGCGAATTTTCGAGCTTCAACCTTGTCATTTTTCGTTCTCGAGCCGTGACACCGGCCAACGCCGCCACGAATTCGTGTTTTCATCGTTGGGCCAGGTGTGCGGTTCAGTTTTGCGGGTTCTTCCGTGCTTTTTTTCTCCTCGGTCTCGTCTGCCGGGATCGGGTTAGCCGATCGTGGGGGGATGAGGGCGTGAGGGGGCCGAATAAGTGCAGTGGCAGGGCCACGAACCGGTTCGCCGGTTCGCCGGTTCGCCATCATTACGACGTAACTCAAGCGACCCTGAGGAGGCTTCGGACAGCACGATAATCAGGAGGCCGTATTATCATCACGAACCCGGCGTTCCTACGCATTATTATCGCCGACTCGTCGGAGGTGTAAAGTATTTCGTTCGCGGCTGAAATTCAGCCGGCTTCGCCTCCGGTCCCTGAACGGCGAGGCCGTTTGTTCCGGGACAGTTTTTCACGGTCCTGTATCTGTCATTATACCGGACGCTTTAGAGGAAAATATTGCATAATTTCTCTCCGTTGCGGTTGTGTACGTTGTTTTGCTTCGATTTGAATAACAGGTACCTCGCTCGGTTTTAGCTCCGACGAAACAAGTTTAAGGGATGAAGTTATCCTCGAAAGTTTAAATAGTGACGAACAACCTTTCGAAACGGTTCAAAGTGCTCCTCGTAGAATTTATAATACACTTTTCGTGCCTTTCGTTGAACGGTTGATTATTTCTAAGTTATCGTCGTTGTCGTTAGTAGATCTAAGTACCGTCGATAGTCTCCCGCGTGATCGTAGTCTCGCGGTCTTCCTCGTCGATATAATCCCGCCGTAATTTCTGTCGCGGTTACCGAT